AATCCAACTTCACAAGAGAGTTCAAATTGCCGATGCTCTCTGGAAGTGCATTCAAGGATTCACATCCATACATTTCAACTGCACAAGAGAATTCAAATTGCCGATGCTCTCTGGAAGTGCCTTCAAGGATCGACATCCATACAAATTCAAGTTCACAAGAGAGTTCAAATTGTCGATGCTCTCTGGAAGTGCCTTCAAGGATCGACATCTAAACAAATCCAAGTCCACAAGAGAGTTCAAATTGCCGATGCTCTTTGGAAGTTCCTCCAAGGATTGACAATCTCCCAAATTCAACTTCACAAGAGAGTTCAAATTGCCGATGCTTTCTGGAAGTGCCTTCAAGGATCCACATGTATACAAATCCAAGTCCACAAGAGAGTTCAAATTCCCAATGCTCTCTGGAAGTGCCTTCAAGGATACACATCCATACAAATTCAAGTCCACAAGAGAATTCAAATTACCGATACTCTCTGGAAGTGCCTCCAAGGATCGACATCCATACAAATTCAACTTCACAAGAGAGTTCAAATTGCCAATGCTCTCTGGAAGTGCCTTCAAGGATTTACAAACTCTCAAATCCAACTTCACAAGAGAGTTCAAATTGCCGATGCTCTCTGGAAGTGCCTCCAAGGATTGACAAACTCCCAAATTCAACTTCACAAGAGAGTTCAAATTGCCGATGCTCTTTGGAAGTGCCTTCAAGGATCTACATATATTCAAATCCAAGTCCACAAGAGAGTTCAAATTGCCGATGCTCTCTGGAAGTGCCTTCAAGGATCCACATCCATACAAATTCAACTTCACAAGAGAGTTCAAATTGCCGATGCTCTCTAGAAGTGCCTTCAAGGATCCACATCCATACAAATTCAACTTCACAAGAGAGTTCAAATTGCCGATGCTCTCTGGAAGTGCCTTCAAGGATCGACATGTATACAAATCCAAGTCCACAAGAGAGTTCAAATTGTCGATGCTCTCTGGAAGTGCCTCCAAGGATTGACAATCTCTCAAATTCAACTTCACAAGAGAGTTCAAATTGCCGATGCTCTCTGAAAGTGCCTTCAACGATCCACATCCATACAATCTCAACTGCACAAATGAATTCAAATTGCCGATGCTCTCTGGAAGTGCCTTCAAGGATCGACATCTAAACAAATCCAAGTCCACAAGAGAGTTGAAATTGTCGATGCTCTTCAGAAGTGCCTCCAAGGATTGACAATCTCCCAAATTCAACTTCACAAGAGAGTTCAAATTGCCGATGCTCTTTGGAAGTGCCAAAAAGGATCCACATGTATACAAATCGAAGTCCACAAGAGAAAACAAATTGCCGATGCTATCTGGAAGTGCCTTCAAGGATACACATGCAGACAAATTCAACTCCACAAGAGAATTCAAATTACCGATACTCTCTTGAAGTGCCTTCAAGGATCGACATCCATACAAATTCAACTTCACAAGAGAGTTCAAATTGCCGATGCTCTCTGGAAGTGCCTTCAAGGATCGACATCTAAACAAATCCAAGTCCACAAGAGAGTTCAAATTGCCGATGCTCTTTGGAAGTGCCTCCAAGGATTGACAATCTCCCAAATTCAACTTCACAAGAGAGTTCAAATTGCCGATGCTTTCTGGAAGTGCCTTCAATGATCCACATCCATACAATCTCAACTGCACAAATGAATTCAAATTGCCGATGCTCTCTGGAAGTGCCTTCAAGGATCGACATCTAAACAAATCCAAGTCCACAAGAGAGTTGAAATTGTCAATGCTCTTTGGAAGTGCCTCCAAGGATTGACAATCTCCCAAATTCAACTTCACAAGAGAGTTCAAATTGCCGATGCTCTTTGGAAGTGCCTTCAAGGATCCACATGTATACAAATCGAAGTCCACAAGAGAGTTCAAATTGCCGATGCTATCTGGAAGTGCCTTCAAGGATACACATGCAGACAAATTCAACTCCACAAGAGAATTCAAATTACCGATACTCTCTTGAAGTGCCTCCAAGGATCGACATCCATACAAATTCAACTTCACAAGAGAGTTCAAATTGCCGATGCTCTCTGGAAGTGCCTTCAAGGATCGACATGTATACAAATCCAAGTCCACAAGAGAGTTCAAATTGCCGATGCTCTCTGGAAGTGCCTCCAAGGATTGACAATCTCTCAAATTCAACTTCACAAGAGAGTTCAAATTGCCGATGCTCTCTGGAAGTGCCTTCAAGGATCGACATCCATACAATTTCAACTGCACAAGAGAATTCAAATTGCCGATGCTCTCTGGAAGTGCCTTCAAGGATCGACATCTATACAAATCCAAGTCCACAAGAGAGTTCAAATTGTCGATGCTCTTTGGAAGTGCCTCCAAGGATTGACAATCTCCCAAATTCAACTTCACAAGAGAGTTCAAATTGCCGATGCTCTTTGGAAGTGCATTCAAGGATCGACATGTATACAAATCGAAGTCCACAAGAGAGTTCAAATTGCCGATGCTATCTGGAAGTGCCTTCAGGATACACATGCAGACAAATTCAACTCCACAAGAGAATTCAAATTGCCGATACTCTCTTGAAGTGCCTCCAAGGATCGACATCCATACAAATTCAACTTCACAAGAGAGTTCAAATTGCCGATGCTCTTTGGAAGTGCCTTGAAGGATCGACATCTAAACAAATCCAAGTCCACAAGAGAGTTGAAATTGTCGATGCTCTTTGGAAGTGCCTCCAAGGATTGACAATCTCCCAAATTCAACTTCACAAGAGAGTTCAAATTGCCGATGCTTTCTGGAAGTGCCTTCAAGGATCGACATGTATACAAATCCAAGTCCACAAGAGAGTTCAAATTGCCGATGCTATCTGGAAGTGCCTTCAAGGATACACATGCAGACAAATTCAACTCCACAAGAGAATTCAAATTGCCGATACTCTCTTGAAGTGCCTCCAAGGATCGACATCCATACAAATTCAACTCCACAAGAGAGTTCAAATTGCCGATGCTCTCTGGAAGTGCCTTCAAGGATCGACATCTAAACAAATCCAAGTCCACAAGAGAGTTCAAATTGCCGATGCTCTTTGGAAGTGCCTCCAAGGATTGACAATCTCTCAAATTCAACTTCACAAGAGAGTTCAAATTGCCGATGCTCTCTAGAAGTGCCTTCAAGGATCGACATGTATACAAATCCAGTCCACAAGAGAGTTCAAATTGTCGATGCTCTCTGGAAGTGCCTCCAAGGATTGACAATCTCTCAAATTCAACTTCACAAGAGAGTTCAAATTGCCGATGCTCTGTGGAAGTGCCTTCAAGGATCCACATCCATACAATCTCAACTGCACAAATGGATTCAAATTGCCGATGCTCTCTAGAAGTGCCTTCAAGGATCGACATCTAAACAAATCCAAGTCCACAAGAGAGTTCAAATTGTCGATGCTCTTTGAAAGTGCCTCCAAGGATTGACAATCTCCCAAATTCAACTTCACAAGAGAGTTCAAATTGCCGATGCTCTTTGGAAGTGCATTCAAGGATCAACATGTATACAAATCGAAGTCCACAAGAGAGTTCAAATTGCCGATGCTATCTGGAAGTGCCTTCAAGGATACACATGCAGACAAATTCAACTCCACAAGAGAATTCAACTTGCCGATACTCTCTTGAAGTGCCTCCAAGGATCGACATCCATACAAATTCAACTTCACAAGAGAGTTCAAATTGCCGATGCTCTTTGGAAGTGCCTTCAAGGATCGACATCTAAACAAATCCAAGTCCACAAGAGAGTTCAAATTGTCGATGCTCTTTGGAAGTGCCTCCAAGGATTGACAATCTCCCAAATTCAACTTCACAAGAGAGTTCAAATTGCCGATGCTCTCTGGAAGTGCCTTCAAGGATCCACATGTATACAAATCCAAGTCCTCAAGAGAGTTCAAATTGCCGATGCTCTCTGGAAGTGCCTTCAAGGATACACATGCACACAAATTCAACTCCACAAGAGAATTCAAATTGCCGATACTCTCTTGAAGTGCCTCCAAGGATCGACATCCATACAAATTCAACTCCACAAGAGAGTTCAAATTGCCGATGCTCTCTAGAAGTGCCTTCAAGGATGGACATCTAAACAAATCCAAGTCCACAAGAGAGTTCAAATTGCCGATGCTCTTTGGAAGTGCCTCCAAGGATTGACAATCTCTCAAATTCAACTTCACAAGAGAGTTCAAATTGCCGATGCTCTCTGGAAGTGCCTTCAAGGATCCACATGTATACAAATCCAAGTCCACAAGAGAGTTCAAATTGCCAATGCTCTCTGGAAGTGCCTTCAAGGATACACATCCATACAAATTCAAGTCCACAAGAGAATTCAAATTGCCGATACTCTTTGGAAGTGCCTCCAAGGATCGACATCCATACAAATTCAACTTCACAAGAGAGTTCAAATTGCCAATGCTCTCTGGAAGTGCCTTCAAGGATTTACAAACTCTCAAATCCAACTTCACAAGAGAGTTAAAATTGCCGATGCTCTCTAGAAGTGCCTCCAAGGATTGACAAACTCCCAAATTCAACTTCACAAGAGAGTTCAAATTGCCGATGCTCTTTGGAAGTGCCTTCAAGGATCTACATATATTCAAATCCAAGTCCACAAGAGAGTTCAAATTGCCGATGCTCTCTGGAAGTGCCTTCAAGGATCCACATCCATACAAATTCAACTTCACAAGAGAGTTCAAATTGCCGATGCTCTCTAGAAGTGCCTTCAAGGATCCACATCCATACAAATTCAACTTCACAAGAGAGTTCAAATTGCCGATGCTCTCTGGAAGTGCCTTCAAGGATCGACATGTATACAAATCCAAGTCCACAAGAGAGTTCAAATTGTCGATGCTCTCTGGAAGTGCCTCCAAGGATTGACAATCTCTCAAATTCAACTTCACAAGAGAGTTCAAATTGCCGATGCTCTCTGGAAGTGCCTTCAAGGATCCACATCCATACAATCTCAACTGCACAAATGAATTCAAATTGCCGATGCTCTCTGAAAGTGCCTTCAAGGATCGACATCTAAACAAATCCAAGTCCACAAGAGAGTTCAAATTGTTGATGCTCTTTGGAAGTGCCTCCAAGGATTGACAATCTCCCAAATTCAACTTCACAAGAGAGTCAAATTGCCGAATGCTCTCGGGAAGTGCTTTCAAGGATCGACATGTATACAAATCCAAGTCCACAAGAGAGTTCAAATTGCCGATGCTCTCTGGAAGTGCCTTCAAGGATCGACATGCAGACAAATTCAACTCCACAAGAGAATTCAAATTCCCGATACTCTCTGGAAGTGCCTCCAAGGATCGACATCCATACAAATTCAACTCCACAAGAGAGTTCAAATTGCCGATGCTCTCTGGAAGTGCCTTCAAGGATGGACATCTAAACAAATCCAAGTCCACAAGAGAGTTCAAATTGCCGATGCTCTTTGGAAGTGCCTCCAAGGATTGACAATCTCTCAAATTCAACTTCACAAGAGAGTTCAAATTGCCGATGCTCTCTGGAAGTGCCTTCAAGGATCGACATGTATACAAATCCAAGTCCACAAGAGAGTTCAAATTGTCGATGCTCTCTGGAAGTGCCTCCAAGGATTGACAATCTCTCAAATTCAACTTCACAAGAGAGTTCAAATTGCCGATGCTCTCTGGAAGTGCCTTCAAGGATCCACATCCATACAATCTCAACTGCACAAATGGATTCAAATTGCCGATGCTCTCTAGAAGTGCCTTCAAGGATCGACATCTAAACAAATCCAAGTCCACAAGAGAGTTCAAATTGTCGATGCTCTTTGGAAGTGCCTCCAAGGATTGACAATCTCCCAAATTCAACTTCACAAGAGAGTTCAAATTGCCGATGCTCTTTGGAAGTGCATTCAAGGATCAACATGTATACAAATCGAAGTCCACAAGAGAGTTCAAATTGCCGATGCTATCTGGAAGTGCCTTCAAGGATACACATGCAGACAAATTCAACTCCACAAGAGAATTCAACTTGCCGATACTCTCTTGAAGTGCCTCCATAGGATCGACATCCATACATATTCAACTTCATAAGCGAGTTCAAATTGCCGATGCTCTCTTCGGAAGTGCCTTCAAGGATGGACATCTAAACAAATCCAAGTCCACAAGAGAGTTCAAATTGCCGATGCTCTTTGGAAGTGCCTCCAAGGATTGACAATCTCTCAAATTCAACTTCACCAAGAGAGTTCAAATTGCCGATGCTCTCTGGAAAGTGCCTTCAAGGATCGACATGTATACAAATCCA